GCTGACACCACCGGCACTCTAGCCTGGGCAACAGAGTGAGACTCTGTCTCAAAAAAAAAAAAAAAAGACTCCATCTCAAGAAAAATTAGGCCAGGTGCGGTACTTCACGCCTGTATCCTGTACTCTGGGAGGCCAAAGGAGGAGGATCGCTCAAGGTCGGAGTTCGAGACTAGCCTGGAGCAAGAGTGAGACCCTGTCTCTACTATAAATAGAAAAATAATTGGCCAACTAAATATAAAAAAAAATGAGCTGGGCATGGTGGCACATGCCTGTATCCCAGCTATCTGGGAGGCTGAGGCAGAAGGATCGCTTGAGCCCAGGAGTTTGAGGTTGCTATGAGCTAAGCTGATGACACAGCACTTTAGCCCAGGCAACAGAATGAGATTCTGTCTCAAAAAAAAAAAAAAAGAATATTAGCCAGCATGGTGGTGTACACTTGTAGTCCCAACTACTCGGGAGCTGAGGCAGGAGGATCACTTTAGATCAGGAGTTAGGACGCACCCTGAGCAAGACCAAACCCCGTCTCTACTAAAATAGAAAAAATTAGCGGGTCTGGGAGCGTCTATTTGTAGTCCCAGCTACTGGGGGGGGGGGGTGCACAGGAAAATCGTTTGAGCCCAGGAGTTTGAGGCTACAGTAAGCTATGATGATGCTACTGCACTGTAGCCAGAGCAACAGAGTGAAACTATCTCAAAAGAGGAGAGGGGAGGCAGGAAACATACAAAAGAAAGAAAAATCATTACCATTCATATGGCAAGTCTGCTAATTTAATTACATTTTAGAGGCTTGAAAGCATACTATAAGAAGTTCACATTTACTAAGCACTCCTATGTGCAGGCATTTTTACGGTATTAATTCACTTATGTATGAAAGAAAAGTTGGGTGACAGTAATAATTTTATAATTAAGAATAAATTAGGAAAGACAATTAAAAGTAGCTCTTCAGAAAAGATATCAAAACGACTTGTTCCATCACCATTGTCATCATCTGCTGCCATGATCCTATTTCCTTTTGACAGTCGACACCTAAGTATTAAATATAAAATTTCCCTTTAAAAATCAACCTCACAATTCAGAGAATAAAACTAGCTTCAAGTTAAAAGCACTTTCAAATTTGGACACATGAACAAGTTTCACTCTCTACATCCTTAAAAGCAGCTCAAGATACAAAAAAATGTCAGGATGGTAAGATGGTAGTGGTTTATCAGAACTTATTAACATTAGTGTCACTAAGTTGGTATACGACCCCATTGCAAATTTGACTAGCTTAAAAAAATTTTACAGGCAAAAGTCAAAATATAAAATGGGTTGTGCGTGGTGGCTCACAACTGCAGTCCTAGCACTCTGGGAGGCGAGGCAAGAGGATTACATGAGCTCAGGAGTTCGAGACCAGCCTAAGCAAGAGAGAGATCCTGTCTCATACTAAAATAGAAAAATTAGCCTTTTGTGGTGATATGTTCCTGTAGACCCAGCTACTCAGGAGGCTGACTGAGGTAGGAGGATCGCTTGAACCCAGAAGTATGAGGTTGCAGTGAGCTATTATACCACTGTACTCTAATTCAGGCACGCAGCAAGAACTGTCTCCAGGAAAAAAAAACCACTATGTGCAGACAGTTGGTGAATTCTACCATACCTTCAAGACAGATAAATGTTAATCTCCTTCAGACAACAGAAAAAAAAATTGTTTGCTAACAGAAAGGAATTTTTTGAAATTAGTACAGCCCTACCATCAAAAGTGGTCTAGGATAAGACAAACAGAAAAATAACAACTAGAAAAAACTACAAGCTAGTCTTATGACAATAGGTAGAAACCACCAAAAAAGAAAAAAAAAAAATCAGTCAACTGAATCCAGCAAGATATTAATTAAAAACACTATGAACATGTGGGATTTATCCAAAAATGCAAGGGTGGTCTGACATTAAAATTGCTTCCCACAGACGTATGGGTTAGTAATTCCGATACTGATACAAACGGATCTTGAAATGAACAATTTAAATAATGGGTGGTAGATGGTAGAAGCAGATCTCCATTATTGGCATGGGAGGCTATAGAAAAGCAGAGAACAGGCTAGAATGATCCATGAAGTAAGGAATTAGAGTTGAAGACATCTGTAAGAATCACATGATTAACTTACTATAATACAGATAATTAGATACAGAAATTTTTGTAGATGTGTGTATATTAATATATGGGTTAGTATACACACATGTATTTCTTTTCTCTACCTCAGAAGACGTAAAAGAAATGATCCCCAGTAGCAACAAGCACACCCAGTACCCAGATCTTGACATCTAATATTATTCTCCATTAAAATGAACCAAGGTTTCTTTGAGAAACAGCTGATTCTAAAAATGGGCAGAAACACACAAGATAAGCATGGGGCACCTTATCATGCCAGAAAGTAAGTGCTAAAGAAAAACATTGATGGGCATATGTCAAAGGGGCACAGGAAATTCTCCCCCCCCTCAGCCTAGCTCACAGCAACCTCAAACTCCTGGGCTCAAGCAATCCTTCTACCTCAGCCTCCCGAGTAGCTGGGACTACAGGCATGCGCCATCATGCCCAGCTAATTATTTTTGTATATATATATTTTAGTTGGTCAATTAATTTCTTTCTGTTTTTAGTAGAGAGGGGTCTCGCTCAGGCTGGTTTCAAACTCCTGACCTTGAGCAATCTGCCCCCCTCAGCCTCCCAGACAGCTAGGATTACAGGCGTGAGACACTGCACCCAGCCTAAAACTTCATATAATGACTAAAATATTCACCTGTCCAATATGGTAGCTACTAGCACCACATGCAGCTATTGATACATGAAGTATGCATAGTGAGATTGCATCTATTAGTTTCCTATTGCTGCTCTAACAAATTACCATAAATTAGTGGCTGAAACACGAATTTATTATCTTATAGTTCTGGACATCAGGAGTCTCACTGGTCTAAAATTAAGGCATTGGGAGGGCTGTGCTCTTTCTGAGGGTTGTAGGGGAGAATTTGTCCTTTGCCTTTTCCAGCTTGTAGAAGCTGCCTACATTTCTTGGCTGGTGGCTCCTTCCTCCAACTTCAAAGCTAACAGCACACCATCTTCTTTCTTCTCTGACCTATCTTTCCATAGTCATGTTTGCTTCTCTCTCTTGGGAGTACACTGTGACCACCTGGATAACCCAAGATACTCCACCATTTCAAAATCCTTAACTTAATCATATTTGTGAAGTCCCTTTTGCCATGTAAGGTAAGATATTCACAGGTACTAGGTATTAGGATATGGGCATTCTTGGGGGGCTATTATTTAGCCTACCACACTGATGAACTGATTTTTAATTTTAATTAATTTGAAGTTAAATAGTCATATGTGGCTAGAAGATACTCTATTGGATAGCAGTTTAGACCATGAGCAATTTGAAGGCAGGGATCAAGTTTTATAAATCTCTGTATTTCCAGTACTTAATACACATACATAAAAATAAATGTTTGCTGAATAAACAAGGAAATGAGACCGAAAAGACTCAACCAGCCAAAATATATGCCTAAGTTCAGTAAGTGAAGCTCATAGTTCACTACTAAGAGGATCCCACTGGCCCTCACTCAAAAACTAGTCTTATTTTGTTTTTGTTTTTTTTTTTGAGACAGAGTCTCACTTTGTTGCCCAGGCTAGAGTGAGTGCCGTGGTGTAAGCCTAGCTCACAGCAACCTCAAACTCCTGGGCTCAAGCAATCCTTCTGCCTCAACCTCCCAAGTAGCTGGGATGGGACTACAGGCATGCGCCACCATGCCTAGCTAATTTTTTCTATATATTTTTAGTTGGCCAATTAATTTTTTTCTATATTTTTGGTAGAGACGGGGTCTCACACTTGCTCAGGCTGGTTTCAAACTCCTGACCTTGAGCAATCCACCCACCTCGGCCTCCCATAGTGCTAGGATTACAGGCATGAGCCACTGTGCCCAGCCAAAAACTAGTCTTATTTACCATGAACATCTCATATCTAAAGGACTTCACAGAGCTGTGGTTATTGCAACTTTAGTAACGTATAACTAGCTATAATACCTACTGTGCATTTATAAAATGTACTTGAATACTTTCCTAAAGGTTATGAACTACTGGACATCAATATCTTATTTTCTACAACTGCAGAAGCACAAAGTATTTCTTTGGGTTAAATAGTTGATGGTGGCCAGGCACACTGGTTCGCACCTATAATCCCAGCATTTGGGGAGGCCAAGGAAGGAGGACTGCTTGAGGCCAGGAGGTGGAGACCAGCCTGAGAAACATAGCGAGACCCCATCCCTACAAAAATAATTTTAAAAATTATCCAGGCTTGGTGGTGTACACCTGCAGTCCTAGGTACTTGGGAGGCTGAGGAAGGAGGACCATTTGAGCTCAGGAGTTCGCGGCTGCAGTGCACTATGATCGCACACTGCACACCAGCCACGAAGACAGCAAGACTCTATCTCTTAAGAAAATTTAAAATAAAAAATAAAATGGGGCCGGGCGCTGTGGCTCACGCCTGTAATCCTAGCTCTTGGGAGGCCGAGGCGGGCGGATTGCTCAAGGTCAGGAGTTCAAAACCAGCCTGAGCAAGAGCGAGACCCCGTCTCTACTATAAATAGAAAGAAATTAATTGGCCAACTGATATATATATAAAAAAAAATTAGCCGGGCATGGTGGCGTATGCCTGTAGTCCCAGCTACCCGGGAGGCTGAGGCAGAAGGATCACTGGAGCCCAGGAGTTTGAGGTTCCTGTGAGCTAGGCTGACGCCACGGCACTCACTCTAGCCTGGGCAACAAAGCGAGACTCTGTCTCAAAAAAAAAAATAAAATAAAATGGTTAATGGGCAAAAACAAGAGGTTAAGGGATAAAGAGCAAGTACCACCATAAAAAGTAGAGGTAATAGATCATATAGACTCCCCTGCTGCCTCCTCAGAGTACTTGAAAATTAGGAACTGCTTGTACTAAAATACAAACCAACTGTTAGAAACAAGATGCTAAAGGTAATGAACACATTCCTGTATGTACAAACTCACCAAGTCCAAAACAAAAGAAAATCATCTTTCCATCAATACTGCTCAACTCCTGTCACCTCTATTTCTTGAAGTAGCATTTACATACCCTAATAGACTACTGATGCTACCTCCAAAATGTTTCTCCCATTTACCCCCATTCTTGCCATTTCAATTTGTTTCAGGCTCCCACTACAGCTACCTAATTATCTCCCTACTCCAAATACATGCTACATACAACTACTGGGTTAGTTCTTCTATAACAATCCTGCTCATACCACTTCCTACTCCAAAACTTTCCATTACTTCCCAATGTCCTGAATAAAGAACAAACTCTTTACCTTGATATACACTGGTGCTTACCTTTCTAGCCCTGTTATTCACTATTCCAAAGTTTCCAAATTCCCAAGTTTCAATTAAATTGAGATCCTATTTGCAAGCATACTTCCTGAAACCATCTCACCGCATCTGTTTCCCACCACATCTACCCATGAGTTCACACGCAAGTCCAGGTGTGAAGATTAGAATGTGTTGAAGGCAAGATTAGAATGTGAGAAATGATGTTTTAAAAAGTCAGAAGATGTACTATAAGAAAAAGATCCTTGGACTTCATCTAGTAGGGAATGGGGGAAACCACTGAAAGTTTTTTTTTTTTTTTTTGGAGATAGAGTCTTGCTTTGTTGCCCAGGCTAGAGTGAGTGCCGTGGTGTAAGCCTAGCTCACAGCAACCTCAAACTCCTGGGCTCAAGCAATCCTACTGCTTCAGCCTCCCAAATAGCTGGGACTACAGGCATGCGCCACCATGCCCGGCTAATTTTTTCTATATATATTAGTTGGCCAATTAATTTCTTTCTATTTATAGTAGAGACGGGGTCTTGTTCTTGCTCAGGCTGGTTTCGAACTCCTGACCTCAAGCAATCCGCCCGCCTCGGACTCCCAGAGTGCTAGGATTACAGGTGTGAGCCACCTCGCCCAGCCCACTGAAAGTTTTTAAAGCCGGGCAATATCATGATCAAATCTGCATTTAAGAAATTTAAAACAAGAGAATGGAAAATATAAGTGGCAAGGGAGATGGAATAGGCTCTTGAAACAGAGGAGGAAACAATGAGCATTCATGCTGAGTTATTAGTAGTGGAAATAAAGATAAGGAACAGATTTGAGAGGTTTCTGTGGTAGATCAACAAAATTTAATGGAAAGTATACTTAAATGTCCACTCTTCCCCATTTCAAATTGTTCTTTACACCACAGCCTGAGTTGTCTTTTCACAATGCAAATCTGATCATGTTCTTTCCTCTGCTTAAAAACTCTTCAGTGATTCTTTGCTCATCTCAGGGTAAAAGACAAATTTTGTCACAATTCTGCAAACAAAGCCTGCATGACCTGGCCTCTGCCCACCCTACCAGTGTCCGTTTGCATCCACTCTCTCCCAATCGCCAGCAGTCTTTGCTCTGATCATAATGGCCTTCTTTTAGCTCCTGAACCTGCTATTTATTCCACCCCACCATAGGCCTACTGCAGGGAGTGCTCTTTCCTCAATGCTTCTCTACCTTCACTTAACTCTTCTTTGGTATTTTGGCTTAAATAATTTTAAGCCTCCCCTGGCCACTCTCCCCACTAGGTCAGGCCCTCTGTTACAGATTCTTTCCCGACATAACCTCCTCTCACGGTTCATGATTACATTTTTGTGGGATTCTTGGAGAAATGTCCATCTCACCCACTGGACTGTAAGCTCCATGAAGACCAGGACCATCTCTGTTCTGTTCCCCAGCTCTCACTGTATCCCCAACTCTCAGCACAGGGCCTGACAGGTTGGTAAGTAATAAAAGAATATCTGTTAAATTAATGAAATTCCCAACTCTGAAGTTTCTAGCTTAGACAATAAGGTAGACAGTCTCACTTTTAACTGCAATGGAGAACCAAAGAAAACATGTTTAGTTATCTGTAGGACAACCAGATGAAAATGTCTAATAGAGAGCTGAAAACAGTATGTCACACAGAAGATATGTAGGTATTATGATTTGGAACTCATTATCATCTTGGCAATAGTTGACATTATACTCTTGAAAACACAAAGGACAATAATTCACCTGGAAAGAAAGGGAGGAGGGACAGGAGGAGGAAGCATGTATCAGAATCTCTTGGGAAGAGGGACTTTTTCACACTTGCTCTCACCTTCCTATTTGGGGATCTCAATATCTAATGAGAATTGTTACTGATAGGAGTGATGCACCTGTGAAAAGAATAGAGGCAAAATTTTTTAAGTTGAGAGCCATAATGATTTAAAAGAGTTGCAAGCTCACTTATACATAATCTTTTTCAGAACAATTCTAATAGATTCAGATGTGAAAGCAAAGTAGATGAAAGAAGGGTCACTAGCCTTTTATGATAGGACAATGTCTTAAAAAGCAGTCTGAAAGAAGTTTTTTTTTTTTTTAAACTGAACAAAAGAAACAAGCATTTGTAGAGAAAAACAAGAAAAAGACAGGGAGACAGTGTCTGTATTTTAGGGCTCATGGGAAAGGCAAACTAATACAGCAACATTCCAGAAGATGTGAGGGGCAAAAACTAACAAGAGCTACCATACACTGCACTCTTACTAGGTACCAGGGACTGACCTAAATGCTCTAAATACATTATTGATTTACTTTAAATCCTCCCCAAAGTCCTATGAGGTCCATAATATTCTTTTTCCCATTTTACAGATGAGTAAATAGATACAGACGATTAAGAAATTTGCCCAAGACAAACAGCTGGTATATACCAGAGCTAGGATTAGACACCCCCCCCCCGTCAGTCTCTAAAGCCAGAAGACCAAAACCAAGAATATCCATTATAGTGTAAATATTTTTTTGAAAATAAAATCTCTTATAAAATGGCAGGAAACACAAAAAGATAATTGGGGGTAGGGTGAGATTAGAAGATTCTTGCCCTGAAAGCCTCTGTCCTCCTCCAATCAAAGAGGCGCAGAGGGAGATAGGGGAAGGGCCTTGAGGAGAGGCGGTTGGGTGCTGGAGTTGTGAAGAATGGAAAAGACCAGGGAAGAGTCGAAGAATCAAAGACACCTTGCTCTCTGAAACACAAATCATGAGAGCCTGCGAATTCTACATTCACGACTGAGCTAGGGCCTACTATGTGTCAGGGATGGCTTTTAGGTGCTGTAGAGATCAAGATAAACAACTTCTCAGGTATAACACGTTTGGAAACAACCAACATCAATGATCACCTGACACTCAGGAAAACCCATTTGTCCACGGAACCCCAATCAAAAGCATTAGAGAATATATTCCAAGGCGAGATTGGGCTTGAGGGGGAAGGGCAGGATAAGCGGTCGGAAGGGCAATTTCTAGGTACGTTCGCCCCCAAGCTCCGTCTGGACGCTCTCGAGGAACCACAGACAGACACTGGGTGCAAGCCCAGACGCTGCACCAGGGGCGGCGAGAACAAGGCTACCTGCTGACCCCCCGTACGTCACTCGCGGCCCTTCCCCCGCCGACTTGGCCGCTCTAAACGGATTCCCTCCGACTTTCTCACTTCCTGGGCGCCGCTGACCTTAGCTTGGAGGACTACCTAACCATGCAGCCTCTTCCCTAACAGCCCTGCGGGGACTTGGCCTCCACGGCAACTTACCCGCCCTGCCGGGCCCAAGACAGCCCGGCTCCTTTCTCCACACCGAGGTCTCCCTGGCATCTCCACCAATACCAGAGCTCAGTCAGGACGCGGAGGCGGGACTGAGCAACCATGACCAATCAGATCAGACGCAACGCACGTCTTGGCGCTGATAACTAGTTCCCGCCTTTAGAAGGGAAAAAAAAATAACACGGTTGGCGCCAAACTTCCGTAGTCTCCTGCGGGTCTGAAGTGAAAGGGGCGGGGTGTAAGGCGGCAGCGAGGCGACGGGGCGGGGCTTCACTGCGGTAGGGGCGGGGTCTGGGAGAAGCTCTTTAATGAAAGGGAAAGTAGGCTCTGAGGAGTCTGTCATTTATGTAGTCCTTTATTCCTTACATTCTGTTGAATGTAGGCTGCGTGCTAGACATAGTGCTGGGCTCGATTATAACGAATAAACTTGTTCCCTGTCCTCAGAACTTTCCTGGATGAAGGGCAAACAACTCAGGCTGTGGGAGCTTCGGGGAGGTCCTAGTCTAGTGCGCCAGGAGAGAGGGGAGCTTTTTAGATGGCGGAACACCTGAATTATCTTACAGAACCTGTGCAAAGAGGGTACTGGTAAGTCTAGCTTCAGGAGCATGGCCTGCGCCATTGATCTGTGGGGAAGTAAAACCACGCCACCTTCCTCAGCACTTCTAGAGTCCACCTATCTTAATCCCTGTTTCCTCTTGTTTGTCTTCTCTCTCTTTTTAGTCTTTTCTCTCTTTGAGACAGGGTTTCACTCTCTTTCAGGCTAGGGTACAGTGGAATCGTCATGGCTCCCTGCAACCTCCAAATACTGGGCTCAAGTGATCCTCCTGCGTCAGCCTCCCCATATAACTTGGACTTACAGGCGTGCCACCACGCCCCGGTAATTTTTCTATTTTTTGTAGAGACAGGTCTTGCTTTTTGCTCAGGCAGGTCTAGAACTCCTGGCCACAAGCGATCCTCCCACCTTGGCCTCCCAAAGTGCTAGGGTTACAGATGTGAGCCGCCTAGCATGGCCCCATTTAAGTTTTAACAACTTCATATCATCTTATTACTATTTTTAAATTTTCCAAAAGGGCTCCGTCCACCTTCGCTTTTGAAGAGAAGTTAGACCACCAATCCCAGGTAGAGGAGACTGGAAGGAGTAGAGGGTGTGCAAGACAACCACAGGGCGGCCATTTTGGCTGGAGCATAAAGTAGGAGGTAAGGCTGGGGAGAAGGGCCTTGAAGGGCCAAATATGGTCATCCTTCGGATGGGGGGAGGAGGGTCTGCAATCTGGCAGATTCAACCAGCCACAGATTGGAAATATTAAAAAATAAAATAACAATACAACAATAAAAAATAATACAAATAAAACACAGTACAATATAACAATTATTTAAATAGCCTTTACATTGTATTAGGTATCATAAGTAGAGGTGATTTAAAATATATGGAAAAATGTGCATAGATTATATGCAAATAATACTACAATCATCTAGAGATGATTTAAAATATATGGAAGGATGTGCCTAGATTATATGTAAATACCACAACATTTTAAGCATCCCAGGATTCTGGTATCCACCAGGGTCCTGGAACTAAACCCTCAGAGATACCCTAGGGGGATTGTCTGTCAAGTAAATGCCAACGAGCTTGGGATTTACCTTTAAATGATTGAAAAATAGGGGGATTACTGAGGGATTTTAGGTGTGGGGTGGTCATAATTTGACTTACATTTTTAAAATTTTTTTCTACTTTTCATACCTTTAGTACAAATTGATTTGCATTAGTAAAATCTGTTGGCCTTGTGAAGGACGATTTTGAGATTCTGTTGCAGTGAACTAGGGAGAGAAAATGAGGATCTGAAGGAGATGGTAGGTATGAGAAAGCGATAGATTGTAGCATATTTAGGAGATAAAAGCAAGAGAACTTAACAATTCACTGATTATTGGTTTTTAGCATGAGTGCATAATGATGGCATTCATCAAAAAATATTTATTGAGAACATAGCATATATACTCAAAAAATAACTAAGGGTTCCTCCCAAAATTCTCTTCCAGGAAAGAGTTACCTTATATTGAAGTCCTTACATAGTGATTGATTTTACTAGCACTCTCTTAAATACTTTCACATTGAACAAAAAGATGTGATCAGTTTTTAAAAATTAGCTTGGAAAGACTTCAATCAATGCCAGTTTGGGATACTTATAGACATCAACCAAAGAATTCAATATATTTTCTTATTTGTTTTTGAGACAGAGTCTCACTCTATTTTCTGGGCTAAAGTGCAGTGGCATGATCACAGCAACCTCCAACTCCTGGGCTCAAGGGTCCTCCTGCCTCAGCCTCCCCAGTAGCTGGAACTATAGGCTCTGGCTACCCACTCCCAGCTAATTTTTATATCTTTTGTAAAGATGAGGTCTCGCTCTTGCTCAGGCTGGTCTAGAACTCTCGGCCTCAAGCAATCCTCCCACCTGGGCCTTCAAAAGTGCTAGGATTACAGGCATGAGCCACCACACCCAGCCAAGAATTGGACAGAGAGGCCTGGTGAAGTGGTTCATGCCTGTAATCCCACATCTTTGGGAGGATTAGGCAGGAGTATCCCTTGAGCTGTGATCATGCCACTGTACTCCAGCCTGGGCAATAGAGCAGGGACTCTGTGTCAAAAAAATAAAAAATAAAAAAAAAAGAACAGAGAAATGAAACACAGTTACATGTTTTGCCGTGTCTGAACTTGCAATTGCAAATGTATTAAAAAAAAAAACAAAAACAGTTCCTGGAGATGTCTATGTACTTACATAAGGTAATTTCTGTGGTATAAAGTACATGATATGCCTGCTTTTCCATAAGAAAGAATAGGATAAAGACTGTACATGTATTTGCTTATTTTTGCATAAGAAACACTGGAAGGATAAATTAGAACCTAATAAAAAGGATGATTTATATGGAAAGTAGACTGGGTGGAGGGAATAGAGAGGGAAGGGAGAGTTCTTTGAATATACCCTTTTTATAAACCTCCCTTTATATGTTTTTATAGGCAAATATATATGCATGGCTTTGGCTTTTCTTCTTTTTTTGAAGACAGTGTCTTCTGGGCCAGAGTGCAGTGGCATCATCATAGCTCACTGCAACCTCTAATTCCTGAGCTCAAGCAATCCTCCTGCCTTAGCCTCCTGAGCATCAGGGACTATAGGCCTGTGCCACCATGCCCAGTTGATATCTTTTATTATTTGTAGAGACAGGGTCTTGCTATGTTGCCCAGGCTGGGCTCAAACTTCTGGCCTCAAGCAATCCTTCTGCTTCAGCCTCCCAAAGTGCTGGGATTATAGAAATGAGACACTGTGCCCAGCTTTTCTAAATAACAGCTTTACTGAGATATAATTCACACCCCATATGAGTTTGCCTTTTTATAACGTTTTACTTTTGAACTACGTAACCATTTCTCATTAAAATATTGAATTAAATCAGAAAGAAAAATGCTAAAATGGAAAATAAATGTTAAAAATTAAACTATGTTAAAAAATGAAATAGAAACACACTAAGAAAATAATTATTTCAAGTGACATTTGAACAGAGTGTTCAGACTGTTGTGAGACAAAGTTACAAATGTAAGAAGCCATGTTTGCTCATTTCATGAAGCCCCTGACTCTGTGACCACCGGCAGCTCCCCACAAAGATGTTTTAAAGACAAAACAGGGTACAGCATGTGGCTCCCTACATCTTTCACTTGAGTCACTACATTCCTTAAAAGATAAATGACCTTAGTCCTTGCCTTTTTCTACACATAAAATAACATCTGACTGGGTTATTGATTATTCCTTTGTAATCTATAACCAGATGTACTCTTGAGTCCAAACTTTGATGTGATGTTGAATATAATGAACCTCCATCACCTGTATATAAGCAGTGGTCTGAAATACTGTGCTAGAGCAGTCTGACATAGCCTCTCTGAAGGACTGCTCCCAGGTTCCCAGGCCTCAGTCTATAGTCCTTAAGACTGTTGAATTAAACTAACTTAAGTTCTTTAAAAGCTTGATTTTTTTTTTCTTAATCAGTGCTGTACATCATTAGTTAGATATATTCTAAGGAACTGCAAAGAAATCTTGTTCTTCCTGTAGTAGTGTTATATTAATAGTATTGAGAATGTAATTTTGAAACCATTTTATGTATGTTTTAGAAGAAATATATAATCTGTTAATATTTTTTAGGAATCAAGATTTTTAGTGAGAAAAAAATTCAAACAAAAAATAAAAAAAATTAGGAGAAAAAGACCGCACTGTTATATATGAATTGGAAATGGTCAACATGAACTCATGATTTTTAAAAACATGTATTTCTTAGTTCTGTTCTTTAAAGAGTCTGGAAGATGCCGGGCATGGTGGCTCAAGCCTGTAATCCTAACAGTCTGGGAGGCCAAGGTGGAAGAATCCTTTGAGCTCAGCAGTTGGAAACCAGCCTGACCAAGAGCGAGACCCATCTCTACTAAAAATAGAAATAAATTAGCTGAACAACTAAAAATATATAGAAAAAATTAGCTGGGCATGGTGGCGCATGCCTGTAGTCCCAGCTACTCGGGAGGCTGAGGCAGAAGGATCACTTGAGCCCAGGAGTTTGAGATGAGCTAGGCTGACACCACAGCACTCACTCTAGCCTGGGCAACAGAGCAAGACTCTGTCTAAAAAAAAGAAGAAGAAGAAGAAGAAGAAGAAGAAGCAAACATTCTAAATTCAGCCCTGACAGCATTATACAGAATTTTTAGAAGTTCCTTAACTCAAATAATTTAGGTGAAAGTGCTCTGGAAAATTCTATCTGAAATCTCAAAAAGTAGATCCAGTAGTGGTAGATAAAGATAACTGCAAATTCTTTGCTACCCCCTCCCCCTTGACAGGTGGACTCTAATTCCCTTCCTCATGAATCTGGGCTGGGCTCAGCGACTTGCTTAATCAATAAAATACAATGAGAGTCACATTCTAGAACTTCCAAGATAAGCACATAGAAGTCCTGAAGTTTCTAACCAAGGTTCTTAGAACACACACTTTGTAACTCTGGGAACCTGAGCTGTCATGTAAGCATTCCAGTTGTCTATTCTAGCTGAGCCCAACCTAGCCATCACACCAAAACACCAGACCTGTAAGTGAAGTCATCTTGGAAACTCCAGACTAGCCCATCCACTAGCTCAATACACTGAATGTCCTCAGTCAACACCTCATGGAGCAGAAGAACTGCCCAGCTGAACCTTGCCCAAATTCTCATTATTAAACATTGTAAAATGGTTGATGTTTTAATTTGTTATACAGCATTCAATAACTATTATAGAATAACAGTAATGGCAAAACATGGAGAATTTTATTTAAATTGTTGCATAAAATGTGAGAATGAAAACCAGAGGCAGATTTTAATGTTTGATGAACTTAAATAATGTTCCCTTTATAGACTATAGTTAATTAAGTCCCTTTAATTATATTCTTAACTCCATTTATAGATATAATACATTTGATCTGCTTTAAACACTTCAAATGCTATCAGGGCAACATAAAAACACCAACAAATAAATCAGTTAAAAGTACCTAAACAGGCGGGCGTGATGCCACAGCACTCTAGCCTGGGCAACAGAGCAAGACTCTGTCTCAGAAAAAAAATGTTTATAGCAGCTTTATTAAATGTGAAAACTTATAAACAACCAAGATGTCCTTCAATAGGTGAGTACATAAACAAACCACACAATGGAATTTTACTCAGTGATAAAAAGAAATAACCTATCAAAACACAAAAAAAATATGAAGAGACAATACACACACACACAAAAAAAACATGGAGGAAGCTCAAATGCATATTGCCAAGTGAAAAAAGCCATTCTAGCCAGGCACAGTGGTTCACACCTGTAATCCTAGCACTCTGGGAGGCCAAGGCAGGAGAATCGCTTGAGCTCAGGGGTTCAAGACCAGCCTAAGCAAGAGCGAGACCTCATCTCTAGGAAAAATAGAAAAATTAGCTGGGTGTGGTGGAACACACCTGTAGTCCCAAATACTTGGGAGGCCAAGGCAGGGAGGCAGGAGACTCATTTGAACCCAGGAGTTTGAGGTTACAGTGAGCTATAATGATGCCACTGCACTCTACCCTAGGTGACACAGCAAGAGTCTGTCTCAAAAAAAAAAAAAGGAAAGAAAAATCCCAATCTAATGCTTTAGACGTTGGACTTTGTGACAAAAAAAAAAAGTAAAAGTGATATTAATAAAATAAAAGAAAAAAGAAAAAGAAAAGAAAAAATCAATCTGAACAGG